AGTGCAGTAATAGTTTTATGCAGCCTCCATCAATGTCAAAGTTTGATGTTGAATCAATAAGGTAGTTAATATTTCCCTAATATGTTTATGGGAGTTTCTTCTCCTTGTTAATTAGACTATCAAACATATTCTATATATTCTATTAAAAACCAATCTCTTTCTCTTAGTGAATTATTGTTTTTGAATCTGAATCTGGAGATTTTGCTACAATTTGCTCTTCAATTTTAGAATAATTTCTACTGATCCTGTGGCTTTTTTTTTAAACACTTTTGTTTCCTAAGCCACTAATTTAAGCCAATTGTCTGTTCTTTAACACAAAAATCTAAAGGTGACAAAACAAGAAACATTATTAAAATATGTTAATCAGCAATCTGTTAACTTTTACTTGTATTATTGAGACAGAGACTTTCCAAAATGCAATTTAGAATGGCATACTTCAGGGGCCAGCACTACGGTTTATCAGATGAAGCCTGAGATGCTGGCATCCCATATGCATGCTGGTTTGAGTCTTGGCTGCTCCACTTCCGGTCCAGCTCCCTGCTAATGCCCCTAGGAAAGCAGCCGAGGACTGCCCAAGTGCTTGGGCCCCTGCACCCAGGTGGGAGACCCAGAGGAAGCTTCTGCCTACTGGCTTCGGGTGCGTCCAGCTCTAGCCATTGTGACCATCTGGGGAGTGAATCAGCAGATGGAAGATTTCTCTTTCTGTCTCTGCCTCTCTCTCTCTCTGTCTCTGTTACTAACTCTGCCTTTCCATGCGGGGCGGTGGGGGGGGAAGTATACTCTAGTTATGTCAACTTTTTGAATAAATTGTTTACAATTTGTGTTTCTCTCCCAAGTCTTTGGAAATATAGTCCTTAAAATATCATTGTTATGTTGCAAGGTGTGGACAGAAGAATAAAGTATCCCTTTACACACTTGACTGTTCAGTGTTTCTCCTCAGAACCTGTGAATACTTAGTTTACAAAGCAAAAAGGGCTTTGCAGATAGGATTAGACTGATGACCCTGAGATGGGGGGTTTATTCTGGGTTGTCTGTTTGAGCTCAAATTCATCACAAGGATTTTTTTTTAAACTTTTTTTAGATTATTTTTTAAAAATTGTATTTATTTATTTTCATTGTATTTGAAAGGCAAATGTGCATACAATCTCCCCACCACCATCACCACCACCACTACCCGCCCCAACACACACAGAGGAACACACAGATAAAGAGATCTTCTATGTGTTGGTTTACTCCCCAAATGCCCACAACAATGAGGGCTAGGCCAGGCAGAAGCCAGGAGCCTGGAACTCAATCTTGGTCTCCCATATGGGTGGCAGGAACCTAAGTCCATGAACCATTTACCTGCTTCCTCCCAGGATCTGCATGAGCAGGAAGCTGGATTCAGAAGTGGAGCTGAGACTTAAACCCAGTCACTCTGATGTGGGGTACGCACCAAATGCCCATCCTGTGTGGGTTCTCAAAGTCCCAGGAGCTTGCCCAGTAGAGACAGGCGCTATTAGTGGCTCTGAACATGGAAGAAGGATTTGTCTTAGAGCCTACTGACACCTTGATTTTAACCCAGTGAGACCTGTGTCAAACTTGAGACTGTAATGAATTTTCTGCGATTTATCACAACAGTAGTAGAAAACTAACATACGATGCCTGAATAGTTTTAAAACAGAATGACCGGGCTGGCGCCGCGGCTCACTAGGCTAATCATCCGCCTTGCGGCACTGGCACACCGGGTTCTAGTCCCGGTTGGGGCGCCGGATTCTGTCCCGGTTGCCCCTCTTCCAGGCCAGCTCTCTGTTGTGGCCAGGGAGTGCAGTGGAGGATGGCCCAAGTACTTAGGCCCTGCACCCCATGGGAGACCAGGATAAGTACCTGGCTCCTGCCTTCGGATCAGCGCGGTGCGCCGGCTGCAGCGCGCCGGCCACGGCGGCCATTGGAGGGTGAACCAACGGCAAAGGAAGACCTTTCTCTCTGTCTCTCTCTCTCACTGTCCACTCTGCCTGTAAACAAACAAACAAACAAAAAAACCAGAATGACCACTTTATACTTAGAAACATTTGAGGAGATATATGTGTTTAAAATACTCTAGAGAGGAGTGAAAAAAAAAAAGAAGAAGAAAGAAAGAAACCCATAATGCTGGAAAACTGGAAGTCGTCAAGAGTTCAGGCACTCTCGAGGCAGCTCTTCCCCTGGTGAGCTGTATAATATGTTTACAGTTCTGTTTGCCACATCACCATGTCTCTTCTCGGCTGGAGAGAACTTTCGTTTTGACTACGCATCAAAAAGAACAGAATACTTGCTTGCGATTTTACACACCAAATGGTAGAATTTCTTTGTGCTTTTCAAATCTTGTTTTCCTTCCATTTCATAGACCCTTTTGGTGCACGTGTTCATATAAAGAATACAGCCAGTACTTAGCTGCCCAGACATCAAGTGAGTTGACACAGGAGACTGGTGGAAACAGTGTCCAAGAAGTCATTCACACGGAGACAGCAAGCAGAGACTTAACTACACATGCAAGCGATGGAAGCCACATAAATGGGCTTCACTAATAAGAAAAAGAAAAAACAAAACAAAACAAAAAACCAAAAAAACCAAACCTGGACATTGTAGTACTGCAGGTTAAGCTTCTGCTCGGGAACCCAGCAACCCTTATCAGTGCCCATTGCAGTCCCACCCCCTTTGTTGAAGATCCAGCTCCCTGCTACTGCATCCTGGATGGAGGGTGGACCAAGTGCTCCCAAGTTTTAATGTGGGAGACTAGGCTGCAGTTCTGGGCTCATGCCCAGCTTTGGCTGTTGCAAGCATTTATGAAGTGGACCAGAGAATGCAAGATTTTTTTCTTCTTCCCCTTTTCCCTCTCTTTCTCTTCCTTCTCCTTCTCTCTCTCTGTCTCACTCTGCCTTCCAAGAAGATGAGAAATAAAGTTTCCCTAACTCAACTTGCTTTTGCAAATTTACACAAGTGCATGACCAAATGGCTACACTGCCTAGGGCCCTACTATGAGCCTGGAGAGGTGCTCAAGCAAGTGGGATGACTGAAGCTTAGGCGTTGTGAACTTTGAGAGAAATTCAAACACCTCCCCCAGGAGGTGGTTCCCCTACTCTGGACACTGCCACCTGGTCCTTCCTGCTTCCGCATTTTTTTTAAAGATTTATTTATTGATTTGAAAGGCAGAGTTACAGAGAGGCAGAGGCAGAAAGAGAGAGAGAGAAGTCTTCCATCCGCTGGTTCACTCCCTAAATGTCTGCAACAGCCAGAGCTGTGCCAATTTCAAGCTAGGAGCCAGAAGCTTCTTACGGGTCTCCCACGCTGGTGCAGGGGCCCAAGGACTTGGGTTATATTCCATTGCTGTCCTAGGCCATAGCAGAGAGCTGGATCGAAATTGGAGTAGTTGAGACTCGAACCGGCAGCCCTATGGGATGCTGGCACTGCAGGTGGCCTGTCCCAACTTTTCACCTTCCCTACACACAGTCACCTTGGCTTGAGAAAAGGACACATGCGACCTTTGAGTTTGGAGAATTATCTCTCCTGGCTCCAACTTCCTCTTTGGTTATGGGGATAACTGTCCCAGAGACTTGTGGCTGTGAAAACATCCTGGGAGGCATCTGATCCACACAGGACTGGTGGCTTCTTCTTCCCTATTCTCTAGGCTACAGGGTGGGCCGGGTAAGGAGGGGGCTGGGAACAGATAAGCCCCTCTCTTCCATCACTCCCAAGCCACCCAAGGACTGCACTGCCACTTGTGGGCTGCCCCCACCCCCGCCCCCCGCCCTCCCACATCCTGCTTCCAACACTGGAGCTGGGGGCTGGGGGTACATGCTTGTCCTCTTAAGGACCCCAACGGAGATCAGGACTGGCAAGTTTTGGGAGGGAAGAAAGGTGAAGCCTGCTGGAAGAAGTCCTTTTAGATTCAGCAGCAGGTGGCTCTGTCTCCCTTCCTGCATTCCTGAGCTTGTGAACAGCCTCAGTGCCCCAGTTGGAGCCGGCTGTGAGGACTCCAGAGAGGTTTCTGAGTGGGAAAGCAGCTCACAGAATCGTGGAGTCACCAAGCACTCAGCCAATCCACACAGGAGGCAGCAGGGGCACTTTGGGAGGCCTGCAGGCCAAGGGGCCAAACCAACCTGGGAAAATCCTAAATGCTGAAAAACTCTCTGGGGCCGGTGCTGTAGCACAGCGGGTGAAGCTGCTGCCTGCGGTGCCGGCATCCCGTATGGGCACCGGTTCAAGACCTGGCTGCTCCACTTCAGATCCAGCTCTCTGCTGTGGCCTGGGAAGGCAGTAGAAGATGGCCCAGGTCCTTGGGCTCCTGCACCCACGTGGAAGACCTGGAAGAAGCTCCTGGCTCCTGGCTTCGGATCAGCTCAGCTCCAGCTGTTGTAAGCAATTGAGGAGTGAACCAGTGGATGGAAGACTTCTCTCTCTGTGTAACTCTTTTAAATAAATCAATCACTTTTTTTCTAATAAATATTTTTTTAAAAGAAAAACTCTCCGGAAGCGGCCATACAAACTAGGAGGTGTAAAACACAGGTCCCCCCAAAGCCAGTCCCGTGGGTTTGGGTTTAGTTAGTCCAGTGTCGGACCTACAGTTTTTTACTGTAGCAAGCTCTCCCAGGTGTTTCTGAGCTGGGTTCTGGGGACCACAAGATTGCATACACACCTGGCTGCTATAAATTCTTTCTTTGGTCTACCCGGACATTCTCCTGTTGTGAAACTAGTTTGGTCTGATGCTGCTTGCTTTTCTGCAGACTAAAGTGGCATCAGGGTTTGGTTTGGCACCCATGGGCACTGGGGCAACGGTAACCACGGTTACCTAGGTAGAGTGTCGGGGAAAACCCTGGAACTGGCTCTTGGACCTCTCCTGGACCTATGATAGGGTCCTCTAGGGTTCAGGTTCCCTCCCAAAGCCGCCGCGAAGAGCAGGGTGGACCAGGGCGGGTCCATCTTTCGGTTCCCGCTCGGGCGAGCGCCAGGAGCCGCTGCCTAACGGGAGGGGTTCCGGTTCCCAAAGCACAAGCTGGCGGCAACCGCAGCCCCCGAGCTGAGGGGCGGGGCCGGGGGCGGGGCCGCGGCCCGGTTCGCGGACTCCTGGTGGCCATGGTAACGCGTCAACACCCAGGGCCTGGGTGCCGGCGGCAGAAGCGGCGGCTGAGATGGTGAGGCGACGCAGCGCTTCGTGTGGGGGCCGCACGCGTTCTGAGTTGGGTTGTGTCTCTGAGCGGGGAAACTGAAGGGCTGTGGCAGGGAAAAACCAGAGTCTGAGTTTGGGGGGGTCAGGAAGACCCGGAAGTGGAGAGAGCAACCCTAGGAGAAGAGCGGGAACTCGTGAGCCCCCAGTTTTTCAAAAAAAAAAAAGGTATTAGGAGTGGGATCGACAGCGGTTGGAAGCAGAGTGGTGCTGAGCTGGGAAGCTGGGGAGAAAGGCATGGCTCAACCCCCGCCCCTCCATCCCATCAGGCTGGGGTCCCCCTGGGCTGGGTTTGTGGGATGTGATGTGGAGAAAGACACGGGTGAGGACGACAGAGCAGGTTTCTGGACCCATTGTGCCACTGACTGGCAGGATGACCATGGCTGAGCCACCTAATGTCCCTGCGCTCCAGGTGCGTCTGTGGTTAGTAGGGCTTTGGGTACTCAACAGACATTTGAGACTGACAGACGAGGGTGCCAGGATCTCAAGGCCCGGGAGAGAGATTGGGATGGGTATGGTGAGGACCACGGGAGTCATGGAGACTGAAAAGTCAGCAGGGCCTGGGAGCAGCTTTGCAGGGCGTACCTGAGGGGAGGAGAGGCAGAGGATAGGTATCAGAGCCTTGGGTCATTGGAGCCAACCTTAGAATGTCTGGGCACAGAGGGGGCAGATGTGGCTGCTTGGATGTACTGGGGACACACTTCCGGCCCAGAGGCTGCACTCACAGATTCCAGGAGAACTTGGCTGATTATGAAATAAACGTGCCTCCAACTTTGAGGACTTGTACTGGGCTGCAATGGGAGTCCCCTTTGGCTTGTGCATTTTATTTGATCTGTGTCTCACCTCAGTGCTTTACAAATGGTGGATGTATGTGTGTGAGGGCCTAGCATCACATCTGGCATCAAAGGGCATAAGGCGAATGTTAATTTTCTGTTTCTCCCGTTTCAAACAGTTCCGATTTCCAGGCCTGCATTCATCAGACTTGTGAGCTGTAGGGCACCTAGGTCAGGAATTTCCTACCCAAAGGCCACCACTCACAGCAGGGGTTTGGTCAGTGACTGAGCCCTTCTGACAGCACACCTTGGAGAGGCAGTGGGGCTGAGAGTGAGCTCTGGCAGGCCAGGGGTGTGTGTGTGTGTGTGTGCACGCGTGTGTGTGCTGAGATGCTACTCACTGGCTTTTGAGAGTGTTTGGAGGAGCGAGGAGAGTTGGTGGGGGTAGAGGGGCTCACAATTGGGCAGACTTCCAGGACTCTTACCAAAAAAATTCATTAATCCCGTCCACCAGAGGGAGGAACAGGGACATCGGTACCGGCTAGGACGTCATCATCAGCTAGCATCCCACAGATGGCCAGCCCGGTCTTATTTGAAGAAAGAGGATACTGGAGAAGATCCTTAGAGTAAAAGGCAGTGGTCCTGGTCTTTGGGAAACCTGCTCCCATCCCTTCTTAGGAACCAAAGTCTACAGAAAAGGAAGCAGGACATGGCCGATTTTTGAGGCTAGGATTTATCAGCCTGTGGTGACTCTATGCAAAAGAGGAAGCAGATCCCTGGGTGGGGAGGACATCTGGAAAGGATAAGTCTTTGTTCAGTTGACAGGTGTTGAGTGACGTCAGGGAAACTCTGCACCGATCATTCCAGCCCTGCTCCGGCTTTGTCTTTGCTGGATTTGACCCAAGGGCTGCTGACATAGATGGTGCTGAGGGTTTTTACTGGTTGCATTCTCCCGCCTTCAGAGTGGGGCACTAGGGCCCTTGTTATGGTTGGTTTTCAACTAAAAATAGTTTTATTATTTTTCCTGGTCATAAAAATAGTTACCTGCTCATTGCAGAAAATTATTCAGTCCAAGAAACATCTAAAGCACACCTGAAATTACTGTTAAACATTTTTGTTCACATTCTTTCAGTAAAGCATTCTCGGCATATACCCTTGCCACACAAACATTTTTACAGGAATACTTACATATTCCTTTTCTTTTTTAAAAAAAGATTTATTTATTCATTTGTAAGACAGAGTTACATAGAGAGAGGGAGAGATAGAGAGAGATTTTCCATCTACTAATTCGCTCCTAATATGGCTGCAATGGCCAGGGCTGAACCAGACCAAAGCCAAGATCTTGGAACTCCATCCAGGTCTCCCACATAGGTTGCAGGTGCCCAAGCACTTGGGCCATCTTCTGCTGCTTTCCCAGGTGTGTTAGCAGTGGAGCAGCCGGGTGTCGAACCGGCACCCTTGTGGGATGCCATTGTCATAGGCATAGATTTACCTGCTGTGCCACAAGGCTGGCCCGTAAATATTCCTTATGATTTTTTTTTAAGATTTATATATTTATTTGAAAGACAGAGTTAAAGAGACAGAGAGAGAGAGATATTCCATCCACTGATTCACTTCTCAAATGGCTGCAATGGCTGAAGCTGGGCCGGTCTAAAGCCAGGAGCCAGGAGCCAGGAGCTTCCTCAAGGGCTCCCATGTGGGTGCAGGGGCCCAAACACTTGGGCCATCCGCTGCTGCTTTCCCAGGCACATTATCAGGGAGCTGGACTGGAAGTGGAGCAGCTGGGACTCGAACCAGCGCTTACATGGGGTGCTCGTGCTGCAGGCAGCAGCTTTACCTGCTAGGCCACAGTGCCAGCATTTTGTGATCTGTTTTCTTTTCTTTTTAAGATTTATTTATTTATTTGAAAGAGCTACAAAGGGAGAGGAGAGGCAAAGAGAGAGAGAGAGAGAGAGAGAGAGAGAGAGAGAGAGGTATTCCATCCGATGGTTCACTCCCCAATTGGACGCAATGGTTGGAGCTGTGCCAATCCGAAGCCAGAGCCAGGAGCCTCCTCCAGGTCTCCCACATGGATGCAGGGGCCCAAGGACTTGGGCCATCCTCCACTGCCCTCCCAGGCCACAGCAGAGAGCAGCCGGGTCTTGAACCGGCGCCCATATGGGATGCCGGCATTTCAGACCAGGGCGTTAACCCGCTGTGCCACAGCGCCGGCCCCCAGTGATCCTTTTTCTTTAAAACTCAATATGTTATGGAAATTTATCCCCTGGCTATTATTGACATCATCACTCGGTTGTCCAGCTAAGCCTTCTGTAGCAGAGTCTCTCAGAAGGCCCCTGGCTGTGGCTGGATTCTCGTGCTCTTGGGGGCAGGATGGGTTTTAAGAACAGAAGGGGGAATAAAAAAAGAACAGAGGGAAATCAGCTGGGTCACCAAGATGAGAACCTCAAAGCAGGCCTGGCATCTTTGCTGTCCCTAATCCTCATCTTCCGCAGCCCTCTTAACTAGCAGGAGCTGAGAGCTGCTTTCCCTTGGAGACTGCCTGAGTGTGCTCCTCTCCAGGCAGTGTGCTTGACGTCTTGGGGTATTTATTTGGTCATGCAAGAAGTAAAACCAGCCCTTCATCTCCTCAAAGAACCTCTTGGCTGCTGCCTCTGCCCAGAGGGATGCAGCTTTCCATTTCTGCTTGCTTCTTCATATTTCTGGTGTGTTTACACAGTGACCTCCCTAATCCTTCTTGTTACTCTTGGCATAGCTGGTTACTCTAACCCTGGGGTAAGGCTTGTGGCTTCAAAGTCAGCATTTCCCAAGTGAGGCTTTCTCAGCTACCCAACCTCGGAGCTCAGAGCTTCCCTCTGTCCTGCCCGGTGGTCACTATTCTGTGGTCATCTGCTTGCCTTCCTCTCTTCTGACTTCGAGGTTCAGGCAGTTGAGTATCTTGGTGGTGACTTCCCCTTGACCTGGGTACCAAGGGCACAGGAAAGAGGACACTCAATCTCAGCCCTGGGGGAACCTGCAGTTTGGAGGACACTCGAGCATAAGGGAAGCCTATAGGGGTCCTTGGAAAGAAACAGGAAGACAAATGCAAAACAATAATAATACTTTCCATCTGTATTCCAGAGCCCTTGCACATGCGTTATCTTGCACAGTGCAGGCCACGTATGTGATCTGGAAAACGTGGAAGGGTGGAGTGACTGGGAGTCAGGCAGGCAGATTCCCGAAACACGGCCACATGACCGCCTCCATCTGCTCTGCGGTTCTCTAGAGGTGCTCTTGCTCAGTTTCATTCACTCGTTATTCATCAAGGGCAGAATGAGCTCCTACTACGCTCCCTTTCCTTAGCTACATAGAGAACTCACACTACCCCTCAAGAGCCAAAGCCTTCCACCTTTTCCAGTTAGTCCCAATGCTTAGCCTTAATCCCACCTACTGCAGTTTCTGTTCGTTTGCTCCTGTTCTATTTTTGGAGCAGAAGGGATCCATTGCTCACCACCCACCATGTAATAACCCTTCAGAGGCTGTTATTAGGCATCCTTGGGGCTGCTATATTTACCTTTTAATAAATCCAAGCTTTTCTGTTCTTCTATACTGGGGCTAACTGAGGATGTAAAGGGAGACTCCCTCTGTAAGCCCCTTGCTGGCTGTGCCAGGCACGAGGCAGAGGCACACGCAGCAGTGCTAACTGTACAGAACAGATCCAGCTGGAGAATAATTGCCCAATTTAGTGTGAAAACGTGATGCAGGTGGAACAGGTGCTGGGAGAGTCTGCTTGGTAATGGCAGATCAGAGAGAGCTTTAAAAAAAAGATTTATTTTATTTATTGGAAAGGCAGAGTTAAGAGAGACAGCTGCCCAGGCCCAGGGCTGGGCCAGGCCAAAGCCAGGAGCCAGGAGCCAGGAGCTTCATCCAGGTTTCTCACATGGGTGAGGGGCCAAAGGACTTGGGTCATCTACTGCTGCTTTCCTAGGCATACTAGCAGGGAGTTGGATTGGAAGCAGAGCAGCTAGGACTTGAACCAGTGCCCATATGAGATGCCGCTAAACCCACTATGCCACAACCCTGGCTCCAGAGAAAGCTTTCAAAACACTGTCCACTATTTAGGACCTGGAGTGCATGGTGCATTTCTCTGTCTTGATAGCTGCTGATTACTAGGCTTCGGAAGACCCAATGAATCTAGCCCATTCTCCTAAGGTAGCCCTGCTTGGAGAGCTGTGGAGGGCAGGGTCTGGGCTCCTTCAAAGTGAAGTTTTAATCAGCTTTAGAGTAAGTCTGAAGTCACCCTACCTAGACTTTTTTAAAATCTCTTGGGGCTGAGCTGAAGCTGGACTGTGGTTTGGGATTGGAAATCATGTTAATCAGGCTTCTTGGTTATAACCAACAGAGCCAGAGCTCTAAGCAGAAGGGAATGCGCTGCGCGTGTTTTGGAGACCTCACAGATTTCATCCGCAGACTGGGACACTAGGCTTGGAAAGTAGAACCAAAGGTACCCTGCAGCCAGAATCAAAACCACCAATTTGGGGCCGGTGCTGTGGCACAGTGGGTTAAAGCCCCTGCCTGAAGCGCTGGCATCCCATATGGGCACCGGTTCTAGTCCCGGCTGCTCCTCTTCCGATCTAGCTCTCTGCTGTGGCCTGGGATAGCAATAGAAGATGGCCCAAGTCCTTGGGCCCTTGTACCCATGTGCAAGACCTAGAAGAAGCTCCTGGCTCCTGGCTTTGGATCGGCACAGCTCCAGCCATTGTAGCCATCTGGGGAGTGAGCCAGTGGATGGAAGACCTCTCGCTCTCTGTCTTTACCACACTCTGTAACTCTGTCTTTCAAATAAATAAAATAAATCTTTTAAAAAAACACCAACTTGTCTAGCAAGGGCCCTTGATACCCTGTTTCACCCCAAACATGGCCAGCTTTGGAGATGGGGTGCCCCTGCTGCTGTCCTTGTCATTGTCCTCCCGTCCCCACCTCGGGCATGGCTGCCACTGCTGCCTCTGTCAGAGTGACCTTCCTTGCTCTGCTTCTGCATCACGACATCCCTAGTCATTGTCAGGCTGGGGGATCGCATTGGCTAAGCCAAGGGCCCTTGTCCAAGCTGGGAAAGCAAATACTTGGTGTTTTCAGCCTACGTAGTTGGAGCTGAGCACTGTCTCCCACAACTCGTTAGATGCGGAAGTGGGCAAACTCAACGAAGCTACTGGAGAGAGAGCGGTTAAACAATGCTGCACACCAAAGGGTCCTGGGAGAGAAGGAGCCAAATAGTGGATTTTATGACAGCTGCTGGACTGTAATTGGTTATCATCCATCTTTCATCCATTGCCTAAGGTTCATTGGGCATCAGCCACATACTGAGCAATGGGCGAGGTGCTTTTCCACCCAGGGATGGCGAACATCCTTATAAGGCCAGCAGAATCATTTGGTCTGGCTGTGGCAAGGCAACTGCAGGCAGGACTCGAAATTCAATAAATCTACAGCAGGCTCATTTTTAAGTTGATCATTTTGTATGGCCCGCGGATGGTGTTATAAATATCCAACTGGCCCTTGACAGAACAAAAAAGCTTTGCTATCCCTGCACCCTGCAGTCCCTGCCCTAACTTTGAGGCCGTGGAGACAGGAAGGAGGTCCCACAGCAGTGTCATTTGTGGAGGGGGCGTGGAGCACAGGCTCCAGGGTGGGGGCGAGGCAAGCCCAAGTTGCCTCCCAAGAGGTTGTCCCTGTGGGAAACCAGAAGCGGTAGGACAATGAGATGAAACTGTTGCTCCTCTCCTCCTGCCGAGCCTGCTTCCTTCTGTGCCATGTGACCCACGCGCCCTTCGGTGCCTTCAGGGACCACAGAAATGCTGGTGTGCTTCGTGCCTGCGTCTGTGGCGATGTCAGCCACCTGCTGTTCTTTTCCTCCTGCGTTTCAGGGTTTACGTAGGTGCCTCTGCCCTCCCCCCAGCGTGGACTGGAGATGTATTTACTGTCCCGGATCTGCAGTGCCACTCGGAACCAATGACCTCAACTTTCTGCCTCTTCCTGCAGCCGTTAAGCACAGCTGGCCTCTTGAGCGCCTCTTCTGACACTTCGGAGCCGTCCAGGAATAGGGCTCGCTATCGGACCAAAGCTGTGAACTCTGAGGTGGACGAGAGCCTCTTCGGATGTATCAAGGTAACCGTCCAAAGCCTCAACAGGTAGCTGCCACCTGGAGGCAGTGGCCCAGACTGGTGTTGCTCAGAACACCGGGCAAGTCTCTGCTCACAGGTCGTCCTCAGCCCCAAGACAGAGGGGCGTTCTGAGACCCAAGTGGTAGAGCTGTGACCTCTAGGGAGGTCTGGGAGAACTCCTGCCACCCCTGACATCCTCGCATGATCATGACACGTTTAACTTCTATTGTTGTGTGAAAAGGGAGGCTCCGCTGCAGAGAACTCAGTGTTTGGGGGCCAATGGGCTGAGCCTGCAGACACAGAGCATCAGAGTGCAACCCCGAAACATGTTAGTTACAGGGGCTTAGCGCACAGGTGTCATCCATATGAAGAGCTTGACAACTTCTTTAGTCAGAAAAGGCAGGCTAGAGAATTGCTTTGAGGAATTTTGATAGACATGAAGTTCTGTAGGTGAGAAGGAAGGAGAAAAAGAGAATGAGATATGGCGGGAAAGGGGATGAGAGACTAAGAGATAGGGAGAGAGAGGAGAATGATTGCCTGTGTACCTCTGCCAGCAGGGCGGATGGGGGCGATGGGAGCTGATGTCTGTCCCTGGTCCTCATCCTCCTCACTGTGAATGGAAGAGGACTTTCTGGGGTTAAGGATGGGCACCTTTCCCATTGAGAAGACCTCTCCCCACCCCGTCTGCAGCAGTGTTTCTGTTGCTAAGGGAAAGAACCGAAGGAACACATTTTCCCTGACATTTGTTTTGGATCCACATGTAGTTTTCCAGTCAAGGCAAAGAGAGATGTGGCAACGTGCAGGGGCTCCAAGGGGAGTCACTCTGGCCAGCAACAAAGGGCGATCAGAAGCTCACTGCCCTTGGCCTTGCTGGTGGGGGAGAGAGTCCCGGGTGTCTCCTAGCCAGCAGTAGGGGGCAGGAGTGGCCTGTGGCATGGCTGAGTTGTGCCCACTTGGAAGCAGGGATGGGCACCAGGTGGCAGCAGCACTCCGGGGACTGTCTGTGCACGCGAAGTTCTCAGGACAGGTAAGGCCATCCACCTGCTTCCAGGCGGGTTCCCAGTTACTGCATTAAGGACAAACGAAATTTTCTCCTGTGTTTAGAAACTCCCTGAGATAAGTGACTTCATTTTCTTTTCATCTTAACTCCTTCTTGGTCAGAAAATTTTGAAGAAAATCGTACAGCTACTTTGTATTCTTCTTGCTGAATTCTAATTCACTGAGAGCCTCATCACATTAGATACATATTTTTAAAAGATTTATTTATGTATTTGAAAGACAGAGTTAGAGAGAGAGAGCGAGCTTCCATCGGCTGGTTTATTTCCCAAATGGCCGTGATAGCCAGGGCAGTGCCAGGAGCCAGGAGCTTTTTCTGGTTCCCCCATGTTGGTGGCAGGGACCCAAGCACCCAAAAATCCTCCGTCGCTTTCCCAGGAGCATTAGCAGGGATCTGGATGGGAAGTGGAGCAGCGGGGACTTGAACCTGTGCTCATATGGGATCCTGCTGTGCCATAACACTGGCCCCATAACGTTAGATTTGAAGGACAGGACTCTGTTGGGCTATTTATCTGTTTCTAACTCTCTCATTATGGCAGTTTTGGGAGGTTCAAGTAAGTTAATCATTAAAAATTAAAAATTACTAATATTGTAGATTGTGTGAGTCTATTACAGATTATATTGCTCCAAACTCAGTGTGGTCCAAGAGTCTCAGAGTATTCATTATTTCATGGAGAGAGGAGAACCTAGATACTCAAACTTTCCTTTGTACTCCTGGTGACTTAAGTGAGGATAGATACAGACAAGCAATGGCTCTCCTTTCCTCCCCTCCATCCCATAAAGAGTAGCTGCACAAGAACAAGAGGCCTTGCTCTTGGAAGAGCCCATCCAGAGTAGAGCCAGCCCTGCTCACATAAAGGGCACTGTGCTGCCTTCTCAGTCCCCGGCTCTTAGTGGTCCTGCAGTCTGGCCCCCAGCCAGCATGCCCTGCCAGTGGGTGGGGTGGAGGCCCCGGGAGAAGGGAAGGTGACAGATGAAGTAGAGACTGGCCAGCAGGAAGTGGGATGACCAGCTACTTAAGCCCTCCTTTCTGACCTCGTAGCCTCTGACCCAGGCAGAGAATGACAGCCCCATCGTGCTGCTCCGAGATAAGCACACCCTCCGGAAAACTCTCACTGCCATGGGCTTGGACCACAAGCCAGAGACCATTCAGCTCATCACCCGGGACATGGTCCGAGAGCTCATGTGAGTGCCCTGGGGTCCCCCGCTCAGCCTGCACTGCTGAGGATCTCTGCAGTGGGAGGGGAAGCCTGCCTGGTCTCCTATCAGTCCAGTCCGTCCTCACTGCCCTTTTCACAGTCTCCTTTTGTTTCCTGCCCTTTCTTTCTCCTCGGTTGCATCTGTTATCACCATTGCCCTCCAAACCCAGCTTCCTCCTCCCTCCTTTCTTCCGGCTGGCTGTGGAATCTAAGGAACTGGTGCGGGGGAAGAACTCAGTGGGTCCTCTCTGATCCCCCCAACCCCCCCAGCAAAGTTGGTAAAGGGAAGTGTTCCCGATGAGTCACTTCCTTTAGGCTGCATTCAGAATCTGAAGCAAAGGGAAACTGACCAGATGCCTAATTAGCCCTCTGGCTTCTTCCCAGACTCTGAGGCCATCTGAGGAAATTCACTGGGGCTCCTCGGGTTCCTTTGGGATTAGCTCACCCTTGCTTCCTGGCTGGAGCTGCCCTCTTTGCTCCGGTGGAACTCAGCAATGTTCCATGGGCCTACACTGTGCTTAGCGGTTTAGCTCCTGCATTACTGCTTCTCCTCTGTTACTTTTCTTCCATCATCTGAATCCACCCACTAAAAACTTGAATTCTCAGAAAATGCTGCCTGTGTCAGGAACTGGGGCATGGCTCACGAGCTGAGCTTCACAGTAGGTCCTGAGGTGGACATGGACCAGCCAGCCCCAGCATCAAATGGCCAGACGTTGTCAGTTCTGCCTAGGACCCGAGAAAGGGTTCCTTCTTGGAGTGGTCTTGATTGGAAACAAACTCACTGGCGGCCAAGTGGCTGGTTACTTTGCAGAGGTATTGAAAGCAGCCCTAGATTCAGATCCGTCCTTCCTGGTCACTGCAGACCCTCGGCTGTTTTGGGCCACATTGCTTGGTGAAGTACAAATCTTGGCTAAGCCCCAAATCCAGTCACTCACTGCATCTGCCCCATGGATCCCCGCCCCACCCCCACTGGTTTTATTAGGTGAGGTTCTGCTTCCTGTCTCAGACTGCGTTTACAGCCTTGTGCCTGTTAAATGGCCTCACCCAGAAGCAGCTTTATTCCAACCCCCCACTACCCCTCCCCCATCTTTTAATGTATGTCACTTGTTTGTAATCATCATAATTAGCTATTGGTTTGTTGCGTGCGTTGGGCAGCTGAAAAGGTCTATAGGCACAGCTCCTGCTGTTGTTGATCAGATATTTTAATTAATATTTAGGGTTCAAAGCTTCTCTCTAGGCTGGGTGAACAGGCATGTTTAGGTTTCTCGCTAGCATCCATTTCAACCTTGTATGGCACTCCCTTGCCCTTTTTATGTCATTGGGAATAATCTAATTTTAAAGTTCAGAACTCAAAACAGTTGAGTACTCGATGCCAAGCACCGTGCAGCAACTAGGCTCCCAATGTCGATAGGACAGAGTCTGCCTCCTGAAAGACCTGGTAAAGGAAACAGACCCTGCTATTGACTACAGTGTGGGCAGTCAGAACAGTGTGGTGGGGACTCGGGAGGAGGTGACCTGGGGCTTGGGCAGTGGGTGTGGGCAGATGTGAACACAGGGGAAGGTCTCGGACAGTTGCATGGAGAAAGTAACACTAAACTGGACCTTGTATAGAATGACTTAAAATGTCTTTTTTTTTTTTTAAAGATTTATTTATTTATTTGAAAGGCAGAGTTTATAGGGAGAAAGAGAGAGGCAAAGACAGAGAGAGAGAGAGAGAGAGAGAGAGGGAGATATCCTCCATTTGCTGGTTCACTTTCCAAGTGGCTGTGATGGCCAGAGCTGGGCCAATTTGAAGCTAGGAGCCAGGAGTCTCCTCTAGGCGCCTATGTGGGTGCAGGGGCCCAAGCACCGGCCCATCTTCTGCTGCTTTCCCAAGTACATTAGCAAGGAGCTGGATCAGAAGTGGAGTAGCTGGGACTTGAACCGGTGTCCATATGGGATGCTGGCATTGCAGGTGGCAGCTTTACTGGCTATGCCACAATGCCAGCCCCTAAAATGTCTTTTTAATATCTACAATACTACCTGATCCTTCTCTGGAACCCTTACTCCCCATGAATTTCCCAGTTGCATTGTCCCCTTCTGTTGGTTGAGTCTGGGCCCGAGGGTTGGGGCAGGGGAAGAGGGCAGGGGAAGAGGGCAGAGCATGGAGCCCGGGGCTTTCCGTCTCCCTCTCGCCTCCCTAAGTCTGCTCACTCCTGTGTCAGTGTTCCCACAGAGGATCCCTCAGGGCAGTCGCTAATCATCAGCCCAGAGGAGCTGGAGCGAATCAAATGGGCATCTCACGTCCTGACCAGGGAAGAGCTCGAGGCCAGGGAGCAGGCCTTCAGGAAGGAGAAGGAAGCCGTTTTGGTAGGTCCCCTCCCTAAGCTTCGACCTCTGCAGACGGGCGGCAGAAGAGAGCCGTGCTGGGCGAGAGACGAGCTTCTCAGGACGGTGGGGACTCAACTCTAGTTAGGAGGACTCCGAAGCCAGATGTGGATGCCTGCTTCACATTGCAGCGCCAAGACCAGTGAGAAATATTGGAGAAACAGGAGATCCTGGGGCCAAGAGGAGGATCGGGAACGAAGCCAGGCTGTGAAATGTCTTGGTTCTGACGGCGTGATGGGCTGAGGCCAAAACATACTGGGGATAGCTGTGGTGTCCAGGCTAGCCCTCAGGTGACAGAGCACGGGGACTATATCCCTCCTGACCCAGACTCGCCTCCCTTAGGACGCAGTGACCACGCGCAAGAAGATCATGAAGCAGAAGGAGATGGTGTGCAGGAACAACAAGAAGCTCAGTGACCTGGAGGAGGTGGCCAAGGAGCGGGCCCAGAACCTGCTGCAGAGAGCCAACAAGCTGCGGATGGAGCAGGAGGAGGAGCTCAAGCACATGAACAAGGTGGGTGTCCAGGTCTGTCCCTCCCCCTCGGGGACTCCCTGCCACCCCCCGCCTCAGGTGAGGGCTGGGTGGAGATGAGGTGGGGGGGGGAGCTGCACCTGCCGTGGCGGTGGCTGTGCTCAGAGAGAGGAGGAGCTTTGCTGCTTGCTTGCTGCGTGCTTTGAGCAGGCCCCTTGCCCGCCCTGGGCCTCCCCTCCTTCATTTATAAAATAAGGGTAGGTGGTACAACTGCTTAGCAGCAATATTGGCAGGAGTATAACATAAGGCATGAGAGAGCCTTTGTGAAGTGTGGATTGGTAAATGAATGTGAGGATGTTATCTTATTTTTATCCTGCTATATCAGTTCTGGCCACATAAGGTGATGGAGGCAATTGATTCTTTCTGAAGTGCCCAAAGTGCTTTCTTTCTTTCTTTTCTTTTTTTTTTTTTTTTAAGATTTATTTACTTATTTGAAAGTCAGAGTTACACAGAGAGAGGTCTTCCATCCACTGGTTCACTCCCTAATTGGCCGCAATGGCTGGAGCTGCACTGATCTGAAGCCAGGAGCCAGGAGCTTCCTCCCGGTCTTTCCATGTGGATGCAGGGGCCTGAAGACTTGAGCCATCATCCATTGCTTTCCCAGGCCATAGCAGAGAGCTGGATTGGAAGTGGAGCAGCCAGGACTCGAACCTGTGCCCATATGGGATGCCGGCACTGCAGGGGGTGGCTTTACCTTCTAAGCCACAGTGCCCAGCCCCCAGAGTGCTTTCTCTAGCCAAGAGCATAAAGGCTCATTTGAATTCTTTTGTGCAACTCATTTGCATATGATTCACTTCTTGATCAACAGAACAATGCAGACCTCCTAACCCCCTTATCTCTAATTTCTGTGTCTCAGGTAAATCTTCTCAAATTCCATGTGCGTATATTTAAGTGGGTTTTATGGAGGAGAGGGCCCATAACTTTCATCATATTCCCAAAAACTATGATGCAATACTTAGGAAGATGCCATGTAGGACCTTTCCTTGCACAGACCCTGGCACCCAGTAGGAGCCTGGCAGATGTTTGAGCTGAAGGGTACATGTTGGAGGGGAAGGGTGAGTGCCAGATGCTCTTGCTGCTCTGGACTTGTGAGAAGCCACTCAGTCATATTCTGCTCCCCTCTCTCCTCCCAACGCCCTCCATGGACTTCCACACGCCCACAGTGCATCCCTCCCTATTTTTGCCCCCAGGCATAGTGCCACAATTTCATCTCCACTCCCCAGATCATCCTCAATGCCAAGTGCCACGCCATCCGGGATGCCCAGGTCTTGGAGAAGCAGCAGATACAAAAAGAATTGGATGCAGAAGAGAAGCGATTGGATCAGATGATGGAAGTGGAGCGGCAGAAATCTATTCAAAGGCAGGAGGAACTGGACCGGAAGAGGAGAGAGGAACGAATCCGGTAAAGAGGTGGTTTGGGCATCTCCCTCCCTAAGTTGTTAACATGGGTCTCTCTCTCTCTCTCTCTTCCAAAGAAACCTTTTATTTAAGGAATACAGACTTCATGCATTTCATAAGTACAGCTTTAGGAATATAGTTATTCTTCCCACCATATCCGCCCTCCCACCCACTCTCCTACCCCTCCACCTCCTCCCTCTGCCATTTCCAGTCCCATTCTCCATTAAGATCCATTTTCGATTAACTTTATACACAGAAGACCAACTCTATACTAAGTAAAGAGTTCAACAATTTGCATGGTAAAACAAAACAAAACTATTCCTCAATAGTGGAGACAAGACTTGTTCAAAGCCATTGCATCTTGAAGTTAATTTCACTTTTTTTTTTTTTGAAACTTAATTAACAAAGCACCCAAGAATGATACATCTTTTGGGAGCCCTTAGACATAGTTATAATACAACTCTGAGGACAGAGGTCCTGCATGGGAAGTTAGTGCACAGTGACGCCTGTTGTTAATTTAATGATTAACACGCTTATGTATGACGTCAGTGGTCACCCGAGGCTCTTGACATGAACTGTCTAGGCAATGGAAGCCTTTTGAATCCACAAACTCCATCAATATTCAGACAAGGCCATAAGCAGAGTGGAAGTTCTCTCTTCCATGTATCTTGAGGTCCATGTAGCCTAGCAAAAGAATGTGGAGATGAGAAGTAGTCATCATCATGTGTTATTATCTCAAGGCCTGTGTGAAGCAGCACCCAGAATCCCAGAACTTTTTAAAGCTTCTTTTTCTTTTTTTTTTTTTAATAAAGATTTATTTATTTTATTTGAAAGACAAAGTTACAGAGAGGCAGAGGCAGAGAGAGAAAGGGATCTTCCATCCACTGGTTCACGCCCCAGTTGGCTGTTAACAGCTGGAGCTGCACCGATCCGAAGCCAGGAGCCAGGAGCTTCTTCCTGGTCTCTCATGTGGGTGCAGGGGCCCAAGCACTTGGACCATCTTCCACTGCTTTCCCAGGCTATGGCAGAGAGCTGGATCAGAAGTGGAGCATCTGGGACTCGAACCAGCGCCCATATGGGATGCTGGCACTGCAGGCAGTGGCTTTATCCACTATGCCACATGCTGGCCCTGAAGCCTATTTCTAAGATCATCACAGGTGCTTTATAATCTGGCCCTGGTTTGCCTTCGTTTCTCACCATTTCCTGCCATCCACTCTCTGCTTTTCTGCATTTCCTCAACGCACCAGACCTTGTCACAAGTTCATGACTTTTGTTTTCCCCTCTTTGTTGAATACCCTTTCACCTTCCTTCCCCCTGGGAAGTGTCTTCTCTTCCCTTAGCATGTGGCTTCGCTGTCACCTTCCCTGAGAAGCCTGCCTTAGTTCACAGGCAGACTTGGTGGTGCCTCCCTTGTGCCCTGTCACTCCTGACCCTCTCTAGACCCTGAGCTCACTGAGGACAGGTCCCTGGCTTCCTCATTGCTGTAGCTCCTGGGCTGGGGAGAGTGCGTGGCTTGTAGGGTGTGCTTAATTCAAGGTAGAATGAATAAATTCAGCTCTCTCTCTGCCTTTGGCAGAGAAGGACAAGTCCCAGAGCAGCTCAAGTATGTCCTAGAATCAGAACATCAACCACAGAGTATACGAGCTACCTCTATAGATAGTCCTTGTTCTGTAGTTCCTTTCTGAGTAGCAGTTTTGTCTCCACAACTGTATTCTGTTCTCTGGAACCATTCATCTCTGTACAGCTTGTAGGTGCCTGGTAGACTATAGTAGGCTCTCAGTAAAAGTTTATGTAGTGGCTGAGTGTCCGTTTTCTAAATAAACAGCTCTGATGAAGGAAGACTCTCTGCCTCATTAGGCAGCTCTAATGATTTGACCTGGTCCTTACATTGAGCTCAGTCCTGTTCCCGTAGAACGCTTTTACTCAGTACTCCAGTTTATTTCACCAGGAGTCATGAAGTCATTCGTGAGCTCCATCTGAATATGAATCTTGTGTTCCTTCCCTTTGATCCTTATCCTAATTTCTGTCTTCTCCATTCTTCCAGCCTTTACTCATACATCAGGGGCTCTAGATGCTTCCAAGTTTATTGATATCCCGGTTACATATAGGAGCTCCCTGGGAACACTGATTGTAGAACCCAGGTGCCCTGCTCTCTGCTGTGGAGGTAGGGCTTTACTGAGTGGAGAGACCTCCTCAGACTCAGCCCCAGGAAGCCCTGTGGAGCCAGCATGGGATGCTAGCTGCTCTACTCTGGGAAGACTTGGGAGCTGGTAGGACTTCAGAAACTCTGCACATACTGGAAGGGAGAAAGTGTACTATGGCGTGGGATGAACACCTGGGCAGACAAATGAAGAAGGAGAATCTTGAGAAGGCTCAGTCCCAGAACCAGGAGCTCAGATCTCCTAGGACTCCCCAAGGGAGGACTCAGGCTGGGCCCATGCAGCACACCCATGTGGAAGGGACCTTCCTGGACTTGGGGTTGTTTGGGTGGAGGCCGGACCAGAGGCACGTGAGCCGTTGGTTTCTAAGATGCCATGTCACTGTTCCCTCCCAGAGGAAGACGGCATATCGTGGAGCAGATGGAAAAGAACCAAGAGGAGCGGTCGCTGCTAGCCGAGCAGCGGGAGCAGGAGAAGGAGCAGATGCTGGAGTACATGGAACAGCTCCAAGAGGAGGATCTGAGGGTAACAGGGCTGGACGGACAATGCCAGGTTTCACCAGCAGCAGCAAGGAAGCCCTCCAAGATTGTGGGGTTTCAGGGTGTGTCGGGCACATGGTCATTTCACAGCATCAGCATCATCAGCTGTTTATTGCTGTGTTAAACATTTATTTGGCCTTGGTGTCATGCAGGCGCATGAGGTGAACAGTGCCTTGGATAGATACTGTCCCTGCCTCTCAGGAACTTGATGTCCAAGACTGACATATCAGTGTGAATGTATGGCCATACAAGGAAACACAGATGTGTTTTATAGTCTTTCCTCAATTACCTAGGAATATATAATATGCTTTGTAGATAAAAAGAGCAGTGCCTTATTTCTAGGCTCCCTGCTGTTAACCTCATTCAAAGTACATAGCATCCCATTGTCGTTAATTATAAGTCAAACTTTTTCTTCTTGTGAGCTCAAATAAAATTAGTAGGTGTATCTATTGGAAAAAAAATGACATACCTGTTCAAAATAAGGAGACTTAAAACACAGTCTTCGAAACACAGTCTTCTATATGTTCTACCTGGCCTATTGCAATGTAGAGGAGCCCCTACTTCAGTGCAGGATATAGCAGGTGTTATTCACGGTTATTCACTCAAATATTTTTATTTAGAAAAATTTCACACACTCACACACAACATAAATTGAACTAAACTCTTCACCTGTATTTAATGATTAGCAATTTGCCTTAGTTGCTTATTTCTAGGCTTATGGAAATGTTGTGATTATTGATAAACTGTGTGAAAATTGATGATACCTTGACATTTTGCCACTAAATCCTTCAGCCTGCATCCCCGAAGAACAAGGACACTTTCTCCTATGTCAACGATACTGTTATATCTTCCATCAAAAACTATTACGCTAATGATTCTGTAATATCATCTGATGCTTAATCTGTATTCCAATTTCCCCAACTGTACCAAAAATGTATTTTCAGCTGTTTCCTCTTTTCCAAACAAGGCTCCTGTCCAGGTTTACACATTGGATTTGGCTAAATCTCTGTAGTTTGTTCTGCTTTACGAGAATTCCCTCATTTATTCATTCATTTTTATAACACTGCTGTTGAAAGATTTATTTACTTGAAAGATAGAGTTATATAGAGAGAAGGAGAGGCACAGAAGGAGAGATCTTCTATCCACTGGCTCGCTCCCCAGATGGCTACAACAGTCAGCGCTGGACCAGGCCAAAGTCAGGAGACAGGAGCTTCACCTGAGTCTCCCACATGAGTTGCAGGGCCCCAAGTACTTGGGTCATCTTCTGCTGCTTTCCCAGGTGTATTCGCAGGGAGCGAGATCAGAAATGGATTAGCCAGGACCTGAACCAGCACTTATAAGGGATACCAGCACTGCAGGTGGTTTCTTAACCCACTATGCCACAGCGCTGGCCCCTATAACACTGCTCTTTTGTAGTATCCATGCCATTTGCCTTAAGGAATGTGCCACATTCTGGATTTGTCTGTGTCCTCCTGGTACTATTTAACTTGTGGACCATGAGTTCTTTTCTTCCCCTTCCTCTCCCACATATTTGTGGGTGGTTGAATTGCTGTCTGCCAGAGACAGGGCATCCCTGAGGGGTCCCACAGGTGGACAGACTTGTAATTCTGCAGGCTGACCGGAGCACCTGCTTGAGAAGAAGATGAGCTTGACGAGTGGATGCATACAACCTGGACAGTAGGAGCAGATGAAGGGGAAATGTGGCCTTGTGAATGACTTGAGAAAGGGACAAGGCGGTCTGGAAGACAAGATACTTGGCCATTACTTCAGCTCCTGGCTTGGTAGTGAGAGAGTGAGGGAAAGGGACAGGAAGAGAGGTAAAGGGAGAGTATGCAGGGAAGGAGTGAGAAATGAAGACTAAAATACCCATTTCAGAGGCGGGAAGTGGAAATGGCGGGCTCACCGGGAAATTCCAGGATTAAATGAGTCAACCCCACCACGTCGATGTTGTGCCGTTGTGTCCTTCTAAGCACTTCCCGAGTCTCCAGGAAACGCTGGGCGATTTTAGGGTAGAAACCTGTGCCTCCCCAGCTTTGAACCTGCTCCAGGCCAGCGCCGCGGCTCACTAGGCTAATCCTCCACCTTGCGGCGCCGGCACACCGGGTTCTAGTCCCGGTTGGGGTGCCAGGTTCTGTCCCGGTTGCCCCTCTTCCAGGCCAGCTCTCTGCTGTGGCCAGGGAGTGCAGTGGAGGATGGCCCAAGTGCTTGGGCCCTGTACCCCATGGGAGACCTGGATAAGTACCTGGCTCCTGCCATCGGATCAGCGCGGTGTGCCGGCTGCGGCGGCCATTGGAGGGTGAATCAACGGCAAAGGAAGACCTTTCTCTCTGTCTCTCTCTTTCTCACTGTCCACTCTGCCTGTCCAAAAAAAAAAAAAAAAAAAAAAAAACCCTGCTCCATTGCCTCATGGGGTGCTTGGGAAGCTCCTCCCACCTTGCCAACAAGATGTGGAAGAGTGAAGGGGATTTCTGTGGTGTTGCTTTGGAAGGGCTTCAGAGATGAGAAATGTCTTTGGTTTTTCAGAAACACACTGCACCAAGAAAAACAACAAGCCCCACAGTCAGTAAACAAGTGCATGGTTGTATATTTGTTGTACATTAGAGATCAGCAGCTTCTTTAGCTTTGTGTGTCAGTGGGATTGAGTGATGGCCAATGGCAGGCCTAAAACTGGTGGGAAGACGTTAGAAAGGAATGGAAGAGAGGGAGAAGGGGGAAAGGAAGTGTGAGAATCGGAGGGGCTGAAGGGGAGGGGTAGGGTGAGCCAGGAAGTCCAGCGAGGGCGAGAGACAGCTCCTGGCTGTAACTCATGTGCAGGGGGCAGTTGCTGTGCTGATGTGGTTCAGAAGGCTTCCTGGAGGAAGCAGCTCTGAACGGGGGAGTGACCCACACTGGTGGAGAGAGCCGGCCCTGGAGGAGGGCTCACAGGCACAGGTGCCTTGGCTGGGTGGACTAGGACAGAAGCCAGGCTGAGGAGGAGCTGGAAGGCCAGGAAGGGTGATTTAGAGTTTGAAGAAATGGAGGGAACTGGAAACAGTGTGAGAAGTGGTGGGGTTGATGGATCAAAAAGTCCGAAGCAAGGAATCTGATGCTGATCAGAGGCTACAGGTGAGCTGTAGAAGATTCCACGTGCCCCTCAGTACTGTTACCAGAGCATGTGCCCGGGCTGAGTGTAGGGGCTCCCGTCACTCAGGGTAATACAGGTGCTGAGCCCTCCATGGCTCACACAGGCACACGTTTCTCCGTGTCTAAGATTTTTTTCTCCATTCTTTTCACCTGCTACTCCTTCGGCCCCATCCCACTTCTCTGCCTCATTTAGCGAGAGCTTATTGAGTGTGTGCTGTTTCCCTCCCATCGGGTTTCATGCTGTTAAGGAAGAGGAAGTGTGTCACGAGGACCCTGTCCTGTAGCTGAGATGGGGGGAACACTTAAGATATGAGTGGGGACCCACAGGCAGTGTGTGGTCAGCCCTCAGGAGGCGGTGTGGTGCCACCACAAGCGTGGAGGGAACTCAGAAACAGAGAAAGAGCTCAAAGTTGGGGCACTTCAGTGAGATTTCTGGAGAAGGCTGAAACTTGGATTTGGAGCAGGTTCCAAGAATCTGGCTCAGGAGTTTATTAGCTGTGTGGCCTTGGGGAAGTCACTTCAGTACAGGGCTGCAGGTTCTTCATCTGCTCAAGAGAGATAACCAGGGCTTCCTTTCAGGGGCTCAGCAGCTATTAGAGTGTTAGAGATAGTAAAGTGCCCCGCAAATAGAAAGAACTCGCTTAGGGAATTATTATTTTTATTTTAATAATCGCTATTGAGTGGATATTGAAAATTTGACTTAAATTGGAGACGGCAGCATGAGCAGAGCCACGGGGATGAGACTTAGCATGGCACATGGGAGACACCGAGTAGCATTTTAAAAGCCGCCACTTCCTGGGGATGTGCAGAGATCCGCAGTGTCAGGGGCTGCCGCCAACTCAAGCTGGATGAAGACTGTAAAGAGGCCATTTGGTAGAAGAGGTCATTGATGGCCCTCGAGAGAACAGCTTTAACAAAGGGCAGTAATGACTGCTAGATTGCAGGCAGCGCCTTGGCCTCCCTGCCCGCCTCCACGTCTCTCCATCCCTGCATGCCAGCAGCCTTTTGTCTCGCCTCCTTCTGCCCTGAGACTCTCTCTCTCCCTTTTGCCGGCAGGACCTGGAGCGGAGGCACCAGCAAAAACTGAAGATGCAAGCCGAGATTAAGCGCATCAACGATGAAAATCAGAAGCAGAAAGCAGAGCTGCTGGCTCAGGAGAGGCTGGCGGACCAGATGGTGATGGAGTTTACCAAGAAGAAGATGGTAAGGGGCTTGGTTTCAGGAACAGAATGTCTGTCACAGGAGAGCAGATCTGGGACCTGAGGGGACTCCAGGGGAAGGCGGCCACCTCTTCATTCTAGAACCCATGTCCTTAGTTCAAGGGCCTGACTTCTTTCTCTCTTTGTCTTGGCTAGACTACTGTCTGGTAAAAGCCCAGGAAGGACATCCAAAGTAGTGTGTTGTTACTCTCATTAACACCTTTAATTAGAAAGAGGCTGGGAGAGGGTCAGGTGCAGGCCGGGAAGAAAATTAAACTATTGGCAAAACTGAAGTTTTTGTAGATTCCTCATGATCTCGATAATTATTCCCCCAGCAGTCATGAGTCACCTGCCCCACACATTCCTTGTGAAAACTCCTATATTGGGCGCTAGACTCAGAAAATAGAGTCTTCTCCCGGCCCCCACTGTACAGCAAGTAGGAACAAATGCACGGTGGAGCAGAAAGCAATACCTGCAAGCGGTTACAGACGGCTGTAGCTCATGAAGGTCTGGGCTCATTCTGGGGCTAAATTGAGTGATGAGATGATTGGCGTCTCTAGGGAACAGAAGGTAAAAGAAGGCTTTTAAGCGTGGTTGAGATAACTTGAACACAGATTTATATAAGAGGAGAAAGTACTCACAGTGTCAGGGAAGTTATTAAATTTTTCCTGTGTTGATCTTGTTTCCCCTGATAGTTCTAGAGTTCTGTGATGACAGAAACCACATCATACTTCTCTATGTTCCTCTGTGATGGTGGTGAATGAAGGGCAGGGTGTGTGTGTGTGTGTGTGTGTGTGATTTGAAAAGGTGTATTTGGCAAGTCTTTATTCCAAATACAAACCACAGAAAATGAAGTGCAACAAAGCTTCTTTATTGGCTGCAGTTTTCTTATTGGATGCTGGGCTTATATAGGCAATAGAGTGAGAACGTATGATTAGGGACATGGTTGGTTCATACCTAGTAGCAATTATGGAACTACCATATATTGGGCAGATAGACTTTGTATCAGCTCTGTGCTAAGTCTTTTGCATGTGTTATCCTTCTAATATTTATAACAACCTTGTGACGTGATTATTGATTGATTCAAAATATACTGAGTGCTTCAGTGTGTCCCGGATCAGGCTGAAAGGACCCGGAGTGATGCTGTGCACTTTGTATGAAACTCATCAACTCTTTTCTCTGCGTGGGCGAAGGTGGTGATAATGAGCTAATTATGGGCAGGAGTTGGTGAGCAGGTTTGCTGGATGCCAGCAGGGAGTCGGTGGTAGCCATGGTGAGATGTGAGTTGATGGGAGGGCTGAGAGCAGCTGTTGGGGGTGCCTTGAGCAGAGCTGAGAAGGTGGAATGATGAGGAATTGCCACAGATTTCTGGATGGGGACTGAGGGAGGGTAATGCATTCATCCACGGAAAGAACAAAGGCAGGGTGAAGCCGGGAGAGGGCTCACGCACCTGGGCATGGCCACAGTCCACCCCAACCTCAGGTTGGTATCTTTTCTGGCATGTGGGACTGCCCCCTTCAGAGCTAAAGGTAAAGAATGGTTTTGGCAGGATCCAGAGTTCCCAGCCTTGCCGTTCAGGGCAAGGTGGAACGGGAAGAGCAGCTTGCTGCATAGCCACGAGCACCTCACAAGTGGGCAGCTTACCCGGCTTTATAGAGGCCTGGGCAGGAAGGACGAGAGCTAAGGAGGATTCCTTATGGGGCAATCACATTTCCACCCAGCCCGTGCCACTCATCTTAATGACGGCTCAAGACATGGCAGCTTGGGAATCTGGCTTTGGGAAGCCTTGAGGGATATGCCTGTTCTTTCAGAGATGGGGTAGAGGGAGCCAGTTTCGATGGTCTGCTCTCTAGGAATCTGCTAACCACGGTGGAACTGCCCAAAGCATGGGTGGCCGTTTGCCCCAGGACTAATGAGACAACCTCCACCTGTTGCCCTTTACAGGGGAGGCAGGGAGCCACAGTTGTCCCTTGGCCCAGGAGCTTTGAAACTGGAAGAACTGTGACGAAGCAACAGCAGTAGGAAAGCCGGGCTTAGGATCCCTGCATTCAAATCCTGTTGGTGTTTTCACTGGCAAGGCCCTGGAGCTCCATGGGCATCCGTTTCCTCATTATAATATGTGTCTCGTGAGCTGTTGTGATGGTTCTCCAGGCTAATCAATGGGAAAGCATCTTACCATCAATGAAGCATTTTACACACGCGAATTGTTCTGTGTTCACGCAGTGCCAGGTTCACCTTGCCCCATGTTAAAAGGAATCTGGAAGGGGTTAGGGGAGATCCTTGCGCAAGGCTGGGACACCAGAAACCATTTCACAGGGTCCTTCTTTTCCTGCAGGCACGAGAAGCAGAGTTTGAGGCCGAGCAGGAGAGAATCCGGAGGGAGAAAGAGAAGGAGATCACCCGTCTGAGGGCCATGCAGGAGAAGGCCCAGGATTACCAGGCGGAACAGGTGCCTCCCCTCTGCCGCACCCACTCCCTTCACCATTCCCTGGACAGCCTGCAGAATGGCCTCAGGAGGGGGCGATGTAGAGGAGAGGGTGCAGGTTATCCAGACTCCAGTAGTCTGAGAAGGCAGGAGTGAGCTCCCAGCGATGGCAGCAAGCGCTGAGCAGTGCCTTGTGTGCTTAAGGTTGAGAGAAAGTTTTCCACTGCTGCGACCTCAAGCCACCAGTGAAATGTGTCACCAGAGGAAACTGTGGCATCTCCATCATTAGAGTTTTTAAAATTAGAAGCAATTGCGGGACTGCCTGCAGGTACAGGGAGAAAATTGGAATAAGCGTGGTGGAAGGACAAGATGACCCCTCGGGGTATCTTCTGACCTGGAAGTTCTGTGACAAGAACTGCATTTATTCTCTCCTAGAATAACTTGCTGCCGGGGACGTTGACGGTGCTGCTCGAAGCAGACTGTGTCAGGGTCTGTTAGCAGGTGTCTTCCTGAAGGCACCCGGTCTGTACCCGAGATGACTTTTGTGCCCTACCGGGTGCCCTACTCTGTCCTTTCCCAGGATGCCTTGCGGGCCAAGCGCAACCAGGAGGTTGCAGACCGAGAGTGGCGCAAAAAGGAAAAGGAAAATGCGCAGAAGAAGATAGAGACAGAGGCCACGCTGCGGAAAACTCGACTGGAGCAGGTGGCTTTCAAGGAGCACACCCTGGCGGTCCAGGTGCAGCGGGACCGAGACGAGTTCGAGAGGATTCTTCGGTAGGAGGCGCCTAGAGCCCCGGGTTCCTTTCCTTGTGTTGCAGCAGGGATGGTCCGTACAGGATAGAGGGAAGCTTTCTGGCACCTTATCCAATGGACACCTGTCCATCTTTGCTGGGTTGGCGTTGCTCTAACTACATGGTGGTTGAAATATTTCAAAGCTACCTGAACCAAGAATTTCATGAGAAGAGAATTGGAAAATATCCCTGGCAAGTGTCTAGGAATTGGAGATTATTGGGATTATTTACCTTAGAGCAGTGAAGGTGTAAGTAAAGGTGTGTTCATTCCTTGGTACCTGAGGGGTATTGGTCCCAGGTCCCTGACCTAAGATGCCAAACTCGGCAGATGTTCTAGTGCTTTCTATGAAATGACATAGTATTGTCATCTGACCTATGTACATATTCCTGAACATTTGATTTTTTTTTTTTAAGATTTATGGGGCCGGTGCTGTGGCACAGCGGGTTAATGCCCTGGCCTGAGGCACCGGCGTCCCATATGGGTGCCAGTTAAAGACCCGGCTGCTCCACTTCCAATCCAGCTCTCTGCTATGGCTTGGGATAGCAGTGGAGGATGGCCCATGTGCTTGGGCCCTGCACCCACGTGGGAGACCCAGAAGAAACTCCTGGCTCCTGGCTTCAATCGGCGCAGTTCCAGCCATTGTGGCCAGTTGGGGAGTGAACCATCGGATGGAAGACCTCTCTCTCTCTCTCTCTGCCTCTCTCTGTATAACTCTGACTTTCAAGTAAAAAATAAATAAATCTTTTGAAAAAGATTTATTTATTTGAAAGTCAGACTTACACAGAGAGAGGAAAGGCAGAGACAGAGAGAGAGAGAGAGAGAGGTCTTACATCTGCTGGTTTACTTCCCAACTGGCCACAACGGCTGGAGCTGTGCTGATCTGAAGCCAGGAGCCAGGAGTTTCTCCCGGGTCTCCCACATGGGTGCAGGGGCCTAAGGACTTGGGCCATCTTCTACTGCTTTTCCAGGCCATAGCAGAGAGCTGGATTGGAAGTGGAGCAGCTGGGACTTGAACTGGCGCCCATATGGGATGCTGGCACTTCAGGCCAGGGCATTAACCTGCTGTGCCACAGCATAGGCCCCAATGAGCATTTGCTTTTTTAAATTATATAATACTAAATTTTTACCCAATACATTAAAATTGTACATGGGGCACCATGGGTTGTCTAGAGACGTGTATACATTATAGAATGCTCAAATCAAGGTAAGTCCTGTATAGTTTAAATTATCTCTAAGATTACTTACAATCCATAAGCCAATGACAACTGCCATTGACATTGTACTTAGTATTGTAAATGGTTCTTTTACTGTGGCAAGAAAAATAACAGTCTGTACATAATTAATACAGATGCAACTTTTTTCTGTTTTGATCTGCGGCCGGTTGAGTTCATGGATGTGGAATCACGGATATAGAGGGCCTACTGTCTGAATCTGGTTCCTTCTGACCCTTTCCTGCATGTCCCTCTGCAAGTCAGGGGCAAAGCTGCAGCAGAAGAGGCGTAGGGAATACAGAGAGAACTCCAGACGCTGCACGCTGAGTCACTGGAGGGGAACCTTAGAACAGGGCTTTGCCATCCATTCTCAGATGGGTGCTAAGCACAGGAACCCTAGGCTCTGCTGGATGCCATGGAGGACTTGAGAAATGAGCAAAGCCCTGCCCTCGCCCATTCCACAGGCAGGCTGTGAGAGATCCGAGTGTGGAGGGACCTCACCTGTGTGTCTCCACCTTTGCTGCTGCACAGTACTTCATCCTTTTGTTTTGTTCTCCCTTTTGTAAGTGGAAGCTGAGCATTCACGCTCTCACTGCTTTGTCCCTTCCCCAGCGCAGTCAGCACGCACAGCTGCCAGTGGTTTCCCTCCCTGCTCTGCTTTCTTCCAGTTAGATCTGGGACCACCAGGCCTGACCCCCGGGGGAGATCCTGGGGGTGTTCTTATGGCCTAACTGGGAACAACCAGATCAGAATGTTTCAAAAGACGAAGGAAATTTGAATTGATGGGGATACCAAATGATACCCAAGGAAGTAGGGACTGGATGGTGGAGCGACGGTGGAGCTCAGCTTTCTGGGTGTTCAGGCTCCAGGCCCTTCTCGGTACTGCCTCAGTTAGTTGCATGCCAGACCAGGCTACTCTGAGCCCTAGCAGAGGCAGAGCAGAGCAGCAGGAGCCTCCATCCTTGCCATAGCCAGACCCCCGGGCTGTTGGCGCCAGCCTGCCCCTCTGGCTGTGATGCCCCACCCCACCCCCTTTTTAAAAAAATATATTTATTTATGTGAAAGGCAGAGTTACAGAGAGGCAGAGACAGAGGAAAAGAGAGAGAGAGGTCTTCCATCCGATGGTTCACTCTCCAGATGGCTGCAACGGCCAGAGCTGGGTCCATCCAAAGCCAGGAACCGGGAGCTTCTTCCGGGTCCCCCACACAGGTGCAGGAGCTCAAGGACTTGGGCCATCCTCTACTGCTTTCCCAGGCCAGGGCAGAGAGCTGGATTGGAAGTGGAGCAGCCGGGACTCAAACCGGCGCCCACATGGGATGCCAGCACTGCAAGTGGCAGCTTTACCTGCTACACCACAGCGCCAGCCCCTGTGATGCCCTTTGGTTCTGTAGCTTCCTCTGCCCCCAGGGGTGTGCCGTGGTCACTGGACACCTAGTGAGGAAAGCAGCTTCCTAGATGCCCCCGGAGATTCTGCCCTTGGGCTCCAGACTGCCTTCCAGATGTCTCCCCTCTTCTCCCTGGCCTCCATGCCCTTGCACATCTGTGTGCCTTGAGTAGGCACTAATAAATATTAATGAGATGAAATTAAGGTCTTACTTTTGCAGCTGACCCATTTGTTTCTGCTTTGCTTGGTTTACCTGAAGCATACACACTAGCCCGTTATTAAAGCTATAGCAACCCTTTGGAGAAGTTCAACTTCACCCCCTGCTGCGGGTTACCATCTAGACCTAGTACCTCCAGGCCCATGTGGCCAACATTGCACGTGTCTGCACTCTGGGGGCATCTCTGCTACAGCCGGTGATCCAGCTGTTCCGACTTCCGAAGCATGGCCTCCTGCAAGGCCTATAAATGGGCTTAATGCTTCCGGACAGAGGGAGGCCCTGAACTCCTAGCCTGTTGACTATGCAGAGCTAGCCAACCTACCCTACCCAGTGGTTCTTAGAAATACCTGCGAGCTTTTGAAAACTTCTGGTGCCCAGGCTCTGCCTCCACAGATTGTGGTTTAAATGGTCTAGGGTGAGGCCCAGGCAGCAGTATTTTTTGGAAGTTTCCAGGGGATTCTAAAACCTGCCAGTTTCCTCACCCGGGGGAGTAACCAGACTCTTCCCCATTCCTGTCCCTGGAGCTCTCTGATGACCCTGGGAACACCCTTCCCCCAAACCTTGCCACACTTGCCTCTCTTCTCAGGAGGAAATTTCTACAAAAAGGAAAACTATGGCAAAGCAAAGAGGGGGCCTTCCTGTTGCCACGGGTGGATAGTGGGCAGTGGGGTCTCAGTGTCTGAGAACAGAGGGGTGGAGAGGCCAGCAGTTCTCTTCTCCCAAACTGAGAGGTCTCTGTGGGAGGGGCAGATTTTAGGAAGTATTTACCTGGTGGAAGGAGTTGCTGGGAGTTGGGAAAACAACATAAGAATAGTGGATCACGGAGGATGGCTAAATAGAAATGAGCAGGTGTGGCGATGCTTTCTGTATCTTTGTTGGGGGGCAAGTGACCCTAGGGGAGCATAGCAGTTGAGACAGACCCGCCCAGGACGAGTTAATGTTTTGTTTTTGCTTTTGATTACACTGAGGGAGAAATCAGGTATTCGCTTAAGATGGCCTATGGCCGCATCTCCTCTGAGATGTGAATACATTCCACCTGAATTTTTTTTCTGAGCCTATCTGGTTGCCATTAGTGCTTTTCTCCCTGATGTCTGGGTCTGTGCAGTGTTCTTGTGGAAGAAGCTTCCAAGAGGAGTTTGGACAGGTGGATTAATAGGACAACCATGGGCCAGCACTGTGCTGTAGAGGGTTAACGGCCTGGCCTGAAGCGCCAGCATCCCATATAGGTGCCGGTTCTAGTCCCGGCTGCTCCACTTCCAATCCGGCTCTCTGCTATGGCCTGGAAAAGCAGTAGAAGATGGCCCAAGTCCTTGGGCCCCTGCACCTATGTGGGAGACCTGAAAGAAGCTCCTGGCTCTGGCTTCGGATCAGCGCAGCTCCGGCTGTTGTGGCCAATTGGGGAGTGAACCATCGAATGGAAGACCTCTCTCTCTCTCTCTCTCTCTCTCTCTGCCTTTCTTCTCTCTGTGTATAACTTTGACTTTCAAATAAATAAATGAATCTTTAAAAAAAATAGGACAACCGGCCGGCGCCGTGGCTCACTAGGCTAATCCTCCACCTCGCGGCGCCGGCACACTGGGTTCTAGTCCCGGTCGGGGCGCCGGATTCTGTCCCGGTTGCCCCTCTTCCAGGCCAGCTCTCTGCTATGGCCAGGGAGTGCAGTGGAGGATGGCCCAGGTGCTTGGGCCCTGCACCCCATGGGAGACCAGGAAAAGCACCTGGATCCTGGTTCCTGCCATCGGATCAGCGCGGTGCGCCGGCTGCAGCGGCGGCCATTGGAGGGTGAACCAACGGCAAAGGAAGACCTTTCTCTCTCTGTCTCTCTCACTGTCCACTCTGCCTGTCAAAAAAAAAAAAAAAAATAGGACAACCAAGAGCAGGCTGAACTCCTTCCTTCTCTCAGCAACCAGGGAGAGCTAGTGCCACAGACTCAATCGCTTCTTTTAACCTTCTAAGCATCCCCTTGCAGGCTTGATTAAGGTTGTCACTTCTGTTAGAGAGGAAAGGAAAGAAGAGAGACGTCTTAGAACAGTCGGGAGAGGGGTTATGCATTGTTATGAAGGGAGAGTAGGACCAATGATCGCTTCCAGTGGATGAGATCCTGAGTACAGGACTAGCTACATGATTTTCAGGACCCAGCAAAGAATGAGAATGTGGAGCCCCTTGTTCAAAGACACAAACGTTAAGTCCCTTCTAAGCATGCCCCTGCCAGACAGTGGCCGGCCCTGGCTGCTGGGAGCAGGCGCATGCACATTGGCAGCCTCTGGGGGCTGATCTCTGAGCTGCAGAACAGGGCTGGAGCCTGGAGGGGCAGAGGTCTCTGCCCAGTGGAGAAGCCCATGCAGGAGGCTCCCTCAGCACCTTTCCTCTGTGGGGCCGGCTGGGCCGTGTCCATCCGTATCCTGCGTCCTCCCCCAGGGCTCAGAGAGAGCAGATCGAGAAGGAGCGTCTGGAGGAGGAGAAGAAGGCCACGGGGCGCTTACAGCATGCCAACGAGCTCCGGCGCCAGGTGCGCGAGAACCAGCAGAAGCAGGTGCAGAGCCGCATCGCCACCTTCGAGGAGGGCCGGCGCCTCAAAGAGGAGGCGCAGAAGCGGCGTGAGCGCATTGAGGACATCAAGAAGAAGAAACTGGAAGAGCTGAGGTGCGCTGGAATCACTTCTTACCCCAGCACCTCCCCCCCCCAGAGTTGGCTGGGCAGACGGATGAAGGGCCGCAGCCTAGGTGCCAGGGAGGGACCCTTCTCCCCACTTGGGACTCGCCCCTCTGAAGCCAAGCGCCTGGGACTTGGCCTTCCGGCTCTTCGGGAACTCCTTGGGGGAGGGCTGGGACCTTGATACAAATGGGGGTGGGTTGCTGGAGCCAGGTTGGGGCCGCAGATCTCTGTAAATCCTGCCCTGTGCCTGCCTGCTTCCTCCTGTCTCCTCTCCGGTCTGTCCGGCTCATCCCCTTACACCTGCCCTCCGTTCCTCCGGCAGAGCCACGGGCCTTCCTGAGAAGTACTGCATTGAAGCTGAACGCAAGGCTAACATCCTGCCGGCTACCTCTGTGAACTGAGTGGGAGCCTCCATCGCGGGGCAGATTCTGCCCTGTCTCTGGGTGTCCACAATTGCTGCTAACCTAGACATTTCACAGTTACAGATTAAATCTATTCTACTTCTCTAGGGAACGGCTCAGCTTTCTTGTTGTGGGGATGTGGCTACTCCGGGCATGAGGACACTCGGGGTGACACTCGGGGTCAGGGATGGGAGAATGCTCTCTCATGACTCTGTTGGCCCAGCGTCTCCTTTTGTGATCTCCTGGGATGTCCACTTAGAGGGCAGTTTGGCTCCCTGCCCCACGCCCAGTTCAGAGGCATTGCAGGGCCCTGATGCTGAGCTAGGTGATGCTCTCAGGGAGGGGCAGGGACTAGGGCTGAGCTGGGCAGGGCTGAGGAGGGAGGGACTAGGGCTGCCTGAGGCAGAGCTCTTGCCTGGCTCCCAGCCATGACTCAGACTACATCTGTGCAGGGGTGGCGTTTGAACCTAGGGCATCCTGCTGCTGTCTCCACCCTCTTGTGCCAGAGAGGCAGTGCTGCAGCACAGACACCTGCCTCACCCCGTTCAGGGCACACCCAGGGCCCAGCACGCCTCAGTCCATCCACCCAGTCCTGAAACACAGCTGCCCCTTCCTCAGCTCACCTCACTGCTGTAAGTGGGGTTCCCCAAAGCCGTGTTCACCAGCTTTTACTTTCCTCACTCTTTTCCAAAGCCAGGAGCCAGGGGCTTCTTCCTGGTCTCCCACGCGGGTGCAGGGGCCCAAGGACTTGGGCCATCTTCTACTGCTTTTCCAGGCCATAGCAGAGAGCTGGATCAGAAGTGGAGCAGCCAAGACTCGAACAAGTGCCCATATGGGATGCAGGCACTGCAGGCAATGGCTTTACCCGCTGCACCACAGTGCTGGCCCTGACTTTCCTCACTTTTCAAAAGTTATTTAAAGATTTATTTATTTATTTGGAAGTCAGCATTAACAGAAAGAGAGAGGGATCTTCCATCTGCTGGTTCACTCCCCAAATGGCCACAACGGCCAGGGCTGGGCCAGGCTGAAATCAGGAGCCAGGAGTTTCATCCAGGTCTCCAATATGGGTGCAGGGGCCCAAGCACTCGGGCCATCTGCTGCTGCTTTCCAGGCATGTTGGCAGGGAGCTTGGATCGGAAGTGGGGCAGCCGGGACTTGAACAGGAACCCATAAGGGACTCTGGCAGTGCTGGTGGCGGCTTTACCCACTGCGCCATAACGCGGGCCCCTGCTTTCCTCACTTTGCCCCAGACTACTCTTTATTCCCTTTGCACTCGTGCAAGTAGGTGTTGAGTTCCTGCCACGTGCCAGCTGCGTTCTAGGCACTCAGGGAATACAGCACACCCGCTCCCACCCTCCTGAAAGCCTCCCATTTGGGCCAGTCTGCGCCTGCCTTGTCCCTGCAGGATGCTGCCCGTCAAATTTATTGTCCTTTTAAAGTGGTCTCAGCCTTTTCTGCAGGACTCTGGTTGTCTGGCTCCCATTTGGGGCTGGAGTGCCGGCTGCCAGCGATGGAGCCGCTTCCTTGTCTTGGAGGGGAAAGGTCTTTCTTGCAGCTGCCATCAGCCTGGCACTGTGCTGTCCCTCCAGCCACCTCCCCTCCCCGGGTTTGCCCCTCTTCTCAGCTCCTCAGCCTGGTCTTGTCTTCCTGGACAGGTCCTGCACCACAGGGGGCAGAGGACAGCTGCTGGGCGCGTCCCGGGTGTTTACAACGCCAGGTTACAAGGGCCTCAGGCAAGAGTCCTCTTTTCATAGGGCCCAGGGAGAGTCAGCAAGCTGCTTCCTGTGCTTCCTCTCCCTCAGGACAGCTGCCCCAGGCACCTCCTTCCCCTTCCCCACTGGGGAAGACTGTTGCCTCACCCAACCAGGCAGGCAGCTCCGGCAGCTGTTTGGGGAAGGGGCTTTCTCACCTTCCCAACTCAGTCCTCCTAACTGCAACCTTCCTTCCCTGGGAAACCGATGCTTTCCTCCTTAGGGCCTTTGGGAAGACACGGCACCCAGCCTGGATGGGAGAGAAGGCATGGCAATGCTGTGGAAGTCTCGGTCATCTTTCTACAGCTGGTGCACTGGTGTGGGTTTTCCATGAATGTAACCTATTACTCAGGTGATACCTGCAGGGACCAAAGAAGAAGAAGCCCTTAGCTATTTTAAGGGGGTCTCCCAGGAGAAAAAAAAAAAAAAAAGAGCCTTGGATTCTTGGAATTTACCCAGTCATGCATCTCAGGGCTGGAAAGAGTGAGCCTCTGTGGCACGCTGGTCAAAGGGGGTGCATGTTCCATACAGATTGCTGACTTCTGAGTCCATGGAGAGAAAACCAGGCCGAGTTCACAGATTGAAAGCAAGGGAAGCATTCGACCAGAGATGCTCTGGTGAGAACGCAAGCGTGTGGGGCCCGGCAGATCTGGACAGGGCCTGGACACAGGGCAGTGATAGGTAACATGGATAAAGGTCTGGCTTCGGGAAGGGAGAACGTGGCTGCCTCCGAGCAGGTGCACATCGTTTGGGAGAGAATCTCAGAGTTCTGCCACCAGGGCGGGCCCCTCCGCTCTCATCAGGAACTCTATCCATCTTGGAAGCAGCTCACAATGTGAAAGATTTCTTCTTTCAGGATTCCTGAGAAGCCTTGCCCAGGCTTCTGCAGGCTCCAGGACCAGCTAGTCCCTTGAAGAGGGACCCTCCTGAGTGCCAGGTGGGCAGTTGGGATCTGCAGCCAGCCAGCTGTACCTGGGCTTCTTTATAAACCCTCTACCCCCTCATTCAGGAGTGGCCATGGGGATAATTACAGAGAGAAGTGCCCTGGCTCTTGGCAGGGGCTGGCAGGGGCAGGTGATGTAAGAGTGGTGAGTGGTGGCAGAGGCCGCAGGGGGCTGTGTAAGCCCAGCTTGCAGAAGGGGTTGTGCCCAGAGACAGAGAGGAAGGTGTTCATTCTGTTGACTCGAGCAGGCCCCAGGCCAGGGAGGCAGCAGCAGCCAGCCTCCCTCTTGCTGTTCGAGGTTGGGGCTTTGGGAGCCATGCTTTCTGCCAAGGAAGCTTCAGCCTGCCCTCCCCGTGCTCAGAGGTGGAAATGAACTCTGTGCACCTCTCAAGCCACAGAAGCAGCCTGGGTATGTCTGGGAGGCTGCAAGAGGACTGCAGTGGTGCTGGGGAAATGGGAGATGCCATTTAATGCATTGTCTTTGTTCATGTGAAAATGCTTAAAAAAAAAAAAAAAAAAGCTCCCAAGATCCTGTTGACTTTGTTGTATGGGATCCTGATTCCTTTGTGTCTTCTGTTACTTATAAAGGTACATGTACATCTGTAAGCCCCCAAAGACTTCTGAGCCCCCAGTCTTCTGTGCTTGAGGTCTCCCAGTCATTTCAGAATCCGGCCTGGACAATCCACGGGTCGGGCTCCACCTTGCAGCTCTGACTCAGATCTCCATGGCACATCCCCTGGCTCCTGGTTGGGCTCCAGGCCCTACCTGCCTGCCTGCATCAACTGCCCACACCATGTGCTGCTGTGGCGTGGAGGCAGCCTCAGAACCTTTGCACCTGCCGCAGAAGCAGCTCCAGTTGGGTGGTGACTCAGCAGCCTGCCTGAGTGGCAGCCAAGCCAGGCTGTCCCTGACTCAGTGAGGGGCTGGGATGTCCTCCATCGCCCCTGAAAGCCTCGGCACCCCCATCTGTGACTTGGGTTATGGCTGGCCATTAATTGGTCTCAGTAAAAGCACTCTTATTGGGCTCAGATGAAAGGAGTTCAAAGAGTTCAAAGCCAGATGGGGCTTTTGGGGTGAGGAAGGGTGGCAAGCTGTTCAGGTGACAGCACAGGGAGACGCTGCAGCCCCAGACAAGAAGTCTGGGTGCAGGGGCTGTGGGGCACAGGCAGAGTTCCTTACTCTGTTTTCTCACTCTCAGCCCTCCTAACTGCTCCTCTGCAGCATGGGAGCCTGGGGGGCACCTATGGGTGCTTACTCCAGACCGACGGTCTCTTCCTATCCTAGGCTGCTGCTGCCCAAGGCACCCTGCCCTCCCTATGGGTCTGAGATATACTGGGAGAAATCGCACTTACCAAAAATCTTCATTTCCAGCGTCGGAGTCATCCTTGATCTAGCTGGCTTTTTTTTTTTGACAGGCAAAGTTAGACAGTGACAGAGAGACAGAGAGAAAGGTCTTCCTTCCGTTGCTTCACCCCCAAATGGCCACTACGGCCGGCGCTGCGCCGATCCGAAGCCAGGAGCCAGGTGCTTCCTCCTGGTCTCCCATGCGGGTGCAGGGCCCAAGCACTTGGGCCATCCTCCACTGCCTTCCCGGGCAGAGAGCTGGACCGGAAGAGGAGCAACCGGGACAGAATCCAGTGCCCCAACTGGGACTAGAACCCGGGGTGCCAGCGCCACAGGCAGAGGATTAGCCAAGTGAGCCGCGGCATGGCTGGCTTTAACTCACTCAGCCTCCCTCTGTCTCAGCTGCCCCAGCTCATGCCTCTCCCCAGGGTGAAAGCTCTGTGTCTCATTCTTCGTGTTCAGAGAGTCCCCTTGGGAAGAGGCGGCCGTCAGCTCAGCGCTTTTGGCAACTGTTGTCTTTAAAGATTTATTTGTTTACTTGAAAGGCTGAGTTACAGAGAGAGAGAGAGAGGAAGAGACAGAGGGAAATAGGGGCAGGGGAGAGAGATCGATCTTCCATCTGCTGGTTCACTCCCCAAATGGCTGCAACAGCTGGGCCTGGGCCAGGCTGAAGCCAGGAGCCAGGAGCTTCTTCTGGGTCCCCCAGATGCGCACAGAGGCCCAACGACTTGGGCCATCTTCTGCTGCTTTCCCAAATGCATTAGCTGCGATCTGGATGGAGCAGTTGGGTCTCAAACCAGTGCCCATATGGAATTCCGGCATCGCAGGCAGCGGCTTTACCCGCTATGCCATAACGCTGGCCTCTGCTTTTGAAAACTGCAAGACTAGGACAGAATTATCATTAAGGTTTTGGGTAGAGAAAGGAGAGTTCAGGGAGTGGCAGTGGGGAGCAGAAGGGTCTGGGGCTTGAAAGAAACTGCTCAGGGCCAGGGAACTGACCTGCATGGATCCTGGAGGAAGCCTTGTCCCTGGGCTCTTGGGGGTGAGCACCAAATCACAGAATCTCAAG